GTCGCTGTCCTCGGTGCGGAACCCCGGCAGTCACAATACTTAATGCAGATTTCCTTCAACCAACCGTCTGTGTCTTCATATCGCTCAACTTCATCAAGGTTTAGCTGTCTGTTCTTTTTCTTACCGCAGCTAGACAGGATTGTCAAAAGGAACAGTCCTCTCCCGATCATGTTTGGAAACGAGGCGAAGTAGCTCTCCAGGAATAATAAAAAATAGCGAAGCTTTTATCAGAAGGTTAGGTTTCTTCCCTGTAAATCAAAGTCGGTGAATTAGGGACGCATTCTGAACAAAACTTAGCCGCCTTTCGGTATTTCTGGAGAGCTAGATTTTCTGCAGCATCGGTGACCCGACAGCCTCCGTCCTCTCCGGTCTCTCCACCAAGACCTCGCCGCAACAGCACCCTTTTTATAGCGTGAGCTGGAGAGAGGAAATGACATCATCCTGGGACAAATAATTGCTGTTGTACCTGATCATACCTCGCTGGTTGTCAGGGCGTGTGCCAGTTCAGAGTGCCTCAGGTATAAAAGTGAGCATCTCTATCCCCGTGCGCTGTTTGAGCATCGATCATGTTTTTCATCCTTTGTATGGTTTAACTGGAAGCATATGTATTTTTAAATTAATTTTTGGTTGTGTAGACTTTAGCTTTGATTCAAAAGGTTTATGTTATACATTTGATTTTGAAAAAAGCAACAACCGCACAGGACCAAGACACACAACAATGAAAACAGGCTAGGATAAAGGGGGTAGACAGATGGCGGGATTTTAAATAAGTAACAAGGAATATGAAGGGTGATGATCATCATCCTGATACATATGTTTATCCGCACAATTACCACCCACAAAAATATGGATTTATATCTGAACACATACCTATAGCTATATGTATATAAATATATACACCAAGCACTGACATGTGAAGTAAATATTACTGATTATCTCTTCATCATGGCAGCTGTCAGAGAGTAAGTGAACATTTTGTTCTAAAAGTTGATTTCTTAGAAGCAGGAAAAATGTGCAAGTGTAATTATCTGAGGAGTTTGACAAGCTGATGTTCCTGGTCTGCTGTGGTCAGTATCTATCAAAAGTGGTCCAAGGAAGGAACAGTGGTGAGTCAGTGACAGGATTGTGGACGGTCAAGACTCATTAATGCTCATGGGGAACAAAGGTAAGCCCGTGTGGCCAACAGATGAGCTACTGCAGCTCAAACTACCTAAACAGTTAATGTTGGTTCTGATGGTGTCAGAACACACAGTGCATCACAGTTTGTTGCGTATGGAGCTGCATAGCTGCAGACCAGGCAGGATGCCCATACTGCCCCCTGTTCACCAAGGAAAGCACCAACAGTGGACAGATGAATATCAGAACTGGACCATGGAGCAAAAGAAGTCAATCTGATGGTCCGATGAATCACACTTTCTTTTACATCACGTGGGTGGCCGGATGCGTGTACCTCACAGGGGAACACCTGGCACAGGATCCACTGTGGGAAAAAAGCAGGCTTGTGCAGGCAGTGCGATGCTTTGGGCAATGTTCTGCTGGGAAACCTTGGTTCTGCCCTCCATGTAGCTATTACTTTGATACGTACCACCTACTTAAGCATTGTTGCAGACCCTCCTTCCTTGGAAACAGTATTCACTGATAGCTGTGGCCTCTTTCAGTAGGATCATACTCCCTGCCACAAAGCAGAAATGGTTCAGGAATGGTTAGAGGAGCACAACAGCAAGTTTGAAGTGTGGACTTCAAATTCCCCAGATTTAAATCCAGTTGAGCTTCTGTGGGATGTGAACCCCAGAATTGAAGGGGGAAGTCTGCTTTTCCTTCACATCTTGTTTAAAGACTATTTGATCTGGGAGCTGGCGCCAGTCCCCCTCGATCCTGTACTGGATAAGCAGTCAAGAGAATGGATGTATTGTAAATAAATGATAGTGTCTCTGTCAACATCACTGAGTGATTCCCCATAGGACAAAGAGGGATTATCAAGCTGTATTTACTGATTGTGCCGCTTGACTGCCTAAATGTGTTGCCTGGTGATATTTTATTAAAAATTATTGCTGCCATTGTCCAGATTTGCTCATGTGAGCATGTGACCCAAATCAAACTGAGCTATGTTGCAAGGTCTGTTCATATTTAGGAACAATGCAGTATTTATCTTTCTAGATTAATATTTTATAATTACAGCATACAGTTTATTGTGCCTGTTGATACAGATAAAACAGACAACCTCTTTCTCTGAGCCAAATACACAGCCTTCTTCACACATCTATTGAATGAAGCACTCTTTTGGTAACGCCTACAATAATTTTCACCTATTTAGACAAAATTTATCACAGTGTAACACATTTAATCATCATGCACAATGCTAACTACAGAACGCAGGTGTTAAATACAACTGCAGCTGTCATTAGATACAAATACTCAGAATTGAGTATGTTTTGCTTCTGTTGTTATGAAACTGATATCAGGTTAGTCCAAAGTGCATAGCAAGAAACACTGAGTTGAAGGTTGATACCAACTGTGGATGAAGAGGTAAAAGATCTTTGTCTTCCTCTTCTTTTAGCAGCTCCCTGCTCTGCATATGCCCAAACCATCTCATCCCTGCCTCTTTATCTTTGTGTCTAAACCACTTGACCTGAGCTGTTCCTCTGATGTACTTGTTTACAATCCTGTCCATTCAGGTCACCTCGAATGAAAAACACCTGTCTTTCTGTCAGTGCTACTGTCTCCCAACCATGCATCACAGCACGTCTCACCACCAGCTAGTAAACCTTCCTTTTCACTCTTGCTGCTATCCTTCTGTCACAAATCACCCCTGATACTAGTCTCCAGCAAGTTCCCCTTCCTGTGCACTAATCTTCACCTCTTGTGCACTGTCTGTTGCTTTGGATGGTCGACCCCAGCTATTTGAACTCATTTACCTTTACTTCTACTCCTCTACTCCCAGACTCTCCTTCACCTACTTCCTGCTTTTACTAAGAGTAAAATAAAAATATCCCTATTAATAGTCACAAATAGTTCCATCTGTTGTGCCACCCGCCTAAATGCACACAACTCTCTCACCTTGGAAAAGCTCGTTGATGGATCCCGCTGCTGTATGAAAGCTGCAGGTGTGGAAAAAACTCAGAGAAAACATCTTCAGGGCTGGATTTTTTACAGACGTTTCAGCGTGCGAAAGATACGATGGAGCAAATAGAGTTGGGGGTTGTTTGTGATGTTGGAGGCGGTGGGTGTGTGATCTGTGTCTGATTCACCTCCTGACCAGCGGTCTTGTCACATCAGAAGTGTCAGAATTGGCAACCCTGCACCAAGTGAAGCTTTATTATTGTTTTTTTCTCCCTTTGAATTTTAATAAGACCTTTTCCCTGAGCCTCCTGAGATCTGACATTAAATGATGATACATTAAAACTGCAGAAACAGTACCAGCATTTTGTCTCCATTTATAAGGAGCAGACATGCACACTGGAAAATTCTAAAACTTCTGGATGTGCATGTCCTCATGAGGTCATTTTCATCTTGTTACTGACATGTTCATTAAAAAACAAACAGAGCAGAGGTTTCTAAAGTGGGAGGGGGCGTTTGGACTGTTTGCAGTTTCACATTCACCGACATCCCAAAGATCTCATTATGCATTCAGAGAAACAATAAAGGCCAATCTGCATCAGAGCTAGACCAGAGGATCCATATTTGTCCCGCGTAAAGTGCCGACGGCTTTGTTTAAACATGAAGACTGTTTCCTTTGAATACAATAAAAGGGTTATAATGAAATCTGAAAGCTACAAGCACTAACTGAAATTCGTCAAAGAGAAGCATCCAAGAAGCAACAAAGTAAACTGGCACAAAGCAAATAAATTTGAAAGAGTTTGGGAAAAAATACATGTTAGGTGATTACAAATAATTACCTTTCTAAACTCAAGGGTTATGCGTTTTATTATAAGAAAACGTTAGAAAAGGGAGGCTTTCCCCATGCAAATATGATTGTTCCTACATATATGACACATGATATACTTATACAACCCAGCTGCACCACACTGAGTACATATCATATGCTTTTCCTTTCCATTCTGGAGGTAAATTGCTATTTCTGAGCACATTAAAGTAACCTGAGATTGCCTTAATATAGTTTCCACCTGCCTTTGTAATCACACTGATTCAATGGAGTCGGTGAATTCTGTATTGTAGGCTCTGTTTAACCAGAGAGTACAATACAGCCATCTGCACTGGATGATTACACCTCAGCTACTGACGCCAACCGCTGACATTTTGCGGGTAAAAGATAATGACTCCACTGCTCAGCACCCAGCAGCATGAGCAACACTTAGTGTTTTTTTGTTGTCGTTTTTTTTTTTTTTGTTCAGTGCAATGACTGATGGTTTGCTTTCCCTCTTTTAGTGAAGAATAATAATAATATTTCAGGCACCGGAGGATGGAGCAGTGAAAGTGGGCCAGCAGCTGCCTGGAGATCTGAGGAGCAGACCTGTGACTAAATCTTCCCCTGTTTGAGAAGTCAGAGCTGTCTGGGGAAATCTACAGCAGATGATATGAATGACAAATTTTCATGTTTAAATCATTTTTTTTTTCACTGAGCTGATCGAGACACATTGCCAAGGTCCCTCTGCGTGAGTAAGCGTGCAGAAACAAACAAGCATAAAAAAGTTTTGTTTTTTAAAAAGGTAAATCTGAGTAAATTAATGAGTCTGAAAACTTTTTTTAAAAAAAGGCCCAGAAGTTTTTAAAGAGGCAAAGTCGTTAATATTTTATGTATGAATGTATAAAAGTCACACGAACCAAAAGTAGGTCGTCATGCTTTGTTAATTACAACATTTGCAATTTGTACAAAGCAAACTTTTTATTAAAAATACATATATGCTCTAAGTCTGCTCCCCAAATGGGGGAGAAACAGAAACATCCCACTACCAGGCATGCGGTCTAACTGGTATATCGTCTTTAGCGCAGGAAAAGTTATTTAAATCTCAATTAAAAACTGTAAAAGGGTCTATTAGAAAGTCACATTTCTCAGTTCAGTTCACTTTGAAGAACAGTTCACAACACCAGTCATCTCCAGGCACTTTATTTAGTAAAAATCTTGCAATATTATAGAGACAACCCCCAACCATCTGAAGCTCCCCTATCCTCATCTCGTCCATCTCCAACATCCTCTGAGATTCAGATATTTCGGCTGCATGATTGCAATGATTGTTTGTTGTCAAATCTGTCAGTTTGCAGTCATTTCCTCCATGCTGGTGAATGGCTAAAAAACTCCTTTCGCCCTCTGTGTGTTTTGCGTCGGGAAAAGGAATTAAAAGCTACATAACTCCAAACTGTGCCAGGAGGAGCAGCAGGAAGATGACTGCTGGTGATGGAGCGTCAGTCTGGAGGGTAGGTTGGTCTGACTTGGCTGCGATCGGTCGAGTGAAGATATATGGGTGTTCCTACGTATATGATATGTAATATAATAACTGTAAAAATCAGATATTGAATTAAGATTTATCACAACACAAATAATGCAGTACTGCAGAGCGTTTTGAGAAGCGTGACGCACCGTAGCCTCTTTCCCAGTCTTTCAAACAGCTCTGAGTTGCTGGTGAACTAAAATTTATTTTTATTTCACCAAGCACTCATTTATTTTAATGCAGTGTCATTTATATGCACAGCAGCATGACAAAGCAGTAACAGAGTGTTTTGAGAAGCATCTAAAGCACAGGAATCATAACAAATGGAGAAAAAAAAGGTTCCACAGCGCTAAACTTCCTTGAATCAACAGACTTTTAAACAAACATTTTAAAACACTTTCTGAAACCTAATTTCACTGGAGGAACGTTTAGTTAATATTCAATTCTTTAGACCAATCAGGCCAAACAAAGTTGTCAAATATGGAAAGCTAATCTTACCATAGGCGGACAGATGAGAGTGATGGGGTCAGAGAAGCTGCTCACAATCGTCTTTTCTCCCTCGGGCTGAAACTGTGAGAGAAGCAGACATGTGTATTTGAACAATTACACAGTTCACATTCATGTGAATCCTACACAATAAACCCTGAATGACTCATTGACCTTTAGCCTCTTGTGCCTTTAAATCAAATATAACTTATTGTTCACCATGTTGTTCCACAGTCCCTTGGCCAGCTCCTCATGTCCCTTTATGGTAAAGTGGAAGCAGTCGTGAGTGAAGAAAGTCATATCGATCTTCCCGTTCTGCTCAGAGAGACACAAAATACACTGCGGTATAGTTTTAGTGATGGACAGCATTGTTGGTGAAACATGACTCGTGAGTTTCTCAGCCAAAATGCTACAGCTGTCACACTGGGGATCACTGATGAGTCAGTCATCGCCGCGTGATGCTTCGCACCGATTGGTCTGAAAGCAGACACTTATGTCACACTGATAGGCGTGAGATGGATTACCGGGAGGCGGGGCGGGTCCGCGTTCTTCAAAAAGGGCTGGAGAACAACGGCGAAGTCGTCCCTGAAGAAGCGGTCGCTGTACAGCAGCTTCTCGAGTCTTTTCTGCAGATGAAAGCAGCGTGAGAATCAATTTGTCTCCCATTCTCCTCGCTTGTGCTGTTACAATAACAGCAAACACACAAATTACAGTGAGAGCTGCGAACATGAAATCAGCATATAATGTTTTGGGTGCAATGTACCCTGTTTGCACATTAAAGTGAGTTATCATTTGGGACAATGACAAGGCAAATTATTATGGAAGATACAGTCAAAATGCATTTTAATGGGCATTTCTTTAAGCTTTGTTTCCTTCCAAAATAGTTCTTCTTTCAGGCTGGTAGAAAACAAATGTTTAAAATACATTTCTCTGCACTCTGTAAATTAGATATTTATACAAATTAGTGCATGTTTAACAAGGCAGTTTTGGTATTCTATGGCAAATGGGCTCTATAGTGCCAGGCAGTGAGCACAGAGGACATCTGTTTGAAGATGAAGTCTGTTTATGATTGTTTGGTCACTGCCATCCACACCATCCTCTTCCTCTTTGCACAAAGGAGGAGATACCAGTCCTGTAACTGCCTGTCTCCTGGAATCTCCTCCGTGCTCTTGAGACTCTGCTGGGAGACACAGGAAACTACCTGTGCAACCTCTGCAGGGTTCAGGTATCACCTTATGTACCAGTAGTCACACTGACCCTAGTCAAATGCTAAACTAGTGAAAACACAGGAAGAAAAGATGAGGAGTGACCTCCACTGTAAAACCATTGCTGTTTTGGGAGTTGTGTCTCTTTGTTGTCCCTCTAGAGCACCTTTCGTTAATTTCATTAACACTAAAGCAGCTGAAACTGTTTAACAACCCTCTCTGTTACTTTTAGCTGACTTGATGCTATACTCTGATTAAAACATTTTTAAGCAGTGCATGTATATTTATGGCGGTTTTTCCTCATATACTGACCTAGAAATCTCATCTCCGATAGCTCTTACATACAACAGAGTGTGCAGTTCAAGATTCTGCAGGTGTTTTACAGACGAGCTTGTTTGTGCAGCCTAACATTCAGAGTCTGCTGTACAGAATGAACACGTTGTTCCTAAAAAACATGGGATTTTTTTTATGATGCATAGAGAGATCAAAAAAGAGTCCATATTCCTTCTAATGTGGCAACCAAATGAAAGAAGAATTTATCTCCTGTACCATCTTTCCTTATATAATACATAATCTTATAACATGAAAGAAGTAAAGTGCACCTGGAATTCCAGATTGACCTCCACCAGCTCCCGGAGTTCAGGAGATCTGGCTACTGGCTCTATCAGGCACGAGCAGAAAGACCTAAAACAAAGTCAAAAAGTAAAAAGTTCAAGAAGTGTCAATCAAGCCAGAGTTTAACTTGTTCTGAGAGAGAAAGAGAGTGATCACCGCTGGAGCAAACACCCTGGGGTGGGCTTCTGCACCTCCCTCAAAGTCTGCATGGGGAGGATCTGAACCACGTTCACAATCATACGGGGAACCTGAAGCACAGCATGAAGACCTGCACTGTGGTGATTCAGCACAGCACTGACCCTCAGTCTCAGCAGACAGTAAATCCAGGGCTAAGCCTGATTTCGTTTATCTTCGACTTTACCTCATTCATAAGCATTTCCAACGAGACAGTCATATAGTGGATGAAGTTATCTACTGAAAAAAGAGCCTGGAAGTAGAGGAGATTCATCAGAGGTAATAGAAGAGGCAATATTCCATATATAGAGAGAGATTTTCTATTGAATTAAAGATAAGAGACCAAGACAGACTTTATCTTTGCAGTAATCACAGATGTCATTCATGCCCATGAGAATAGTCAAAAGCTTCCAGTCCTCTTCAAAGTTGAGACCCTAAAGGAAGAGACGACAGTCCCGTTACCTCTCCCATCCCTGTGCTGTATCATTACTGAGAAAACAAGGCCTCGCTTTACCTCGTAACCTCTCAGTGTGTCTATCAAATGTCTCGTCTGACCGGGGAGATTGCTACAAAATAAAGAATAACATGTTTCCTAAAGTGAATTAGGTCACAGCTCAGTTATTTTTGTAGAAGAATATAATTTGTTAGATTAGGCAACACAAAAGTAGGCGAAGGTCTTACAAGGTGTTGTGTCCAGTTACGGCCAAGTTGAAGCCCGTTTCACTGATATGAGCCTGCATCCCATGAACTGTCTTTCCAGGAGAAGCTCCAAGCAGACTGGGGTTAAACAGCTTGATGATATCTAAAAATGACAGCGTCAAACAGGTAAAGAAAATGAGCTGGACTTTTCTCGTTGTGAGTTTCATGGAACGATACAGTTAAGAAACAGCTCGGACACAGCAGTGACAGCTTACTTGCCAAAGTAATGACATCTTGATATGTCCCATAGCCTCCAATGCTGCAAGCAGAAAGGAAAGCAATACCAGCAGCAGAACTGTTAATGTCAGTTTAACCTTGTTTCTTACTGACTGACACTCTCATGGGGGAATACAGTTTCTAACATGTTCCTGATATGAGATCAGTCTGCTTCACATCATCCTGATTGTTATTTGTGCGAGATTTGTGACAGGCACCTCCATGACACGTGACGAAACTCAATGGGAATGCCGAGGACAGTAGTGGCGTTGGCGCCGATAGCCGTCTGGAAAAGAAGGGGCACAGCATAGAGAGATCAGGAGCCAAGGAACAGAAGAAAAGCAGTTTTATGAGTAAGTGTTTGTGTGGGTGGTTTGTCACTCTAATTTAAACGGATCCTATTATGCCTTTCCAAATTCTCTGCCGTATACGTGCAACGCTGCCGAATCAAGGCTCGGGATGAGAACTATTATAAACTGTGAGTCATGCAACGATACACAAAGAGTCTAAGAATAAAAATATAGAGGAGATGATAACAGGTCCCCATTAACCAGCTGCAATTTGGGCATCTTCTCTTAGATTATGAAGATGTGCCGTTCTCATAAAAGCACAAAAAGAGATAATAACTAAGCTGACTGCTCTTCCGTTGGTGCAACATTTGGTTAGTAATGCAGTTTAAAGTTTATTTCCATCTCATTTGCACTCAGTCTTTATCCATCACTGTAAGCGTTTTAGCTCTTCTCACGATTGCAGCTGCCTTCTGCTCAGCAGGACTAAGCGAGTATGCAAAATGAATGAATCAACGGTCAGAGCGAGTCTATTTTTGGTCGATGTTACACTGTATCATCGGCACAGCAGAGGAAGCAGCAAACAACATATAACACCTACTGTCAGAGAATCCCCCAAGGCGGCGATGACTTTGATATCTGCGGCCTTCACAAATTCAACTAGACAAAAGGGTGGAAGGAGGGGTGGATAGAGGGAAGGTAGAGAGGGAAAGAAAGAGAAAAAGAGCGTTAGTTCAAACTCTTGAACAACACAAGATTTGAGGTCAGCAGGTGACACCTGGACAGACCTGAGGAGGGGACAGAGGGAGAAGGACTCATGTCTGAGCACTGGAACACAGGATGCTTGAAGCTCACTGGCCGGGTTTTCTCTGGAAACTCCTAAATAAGTAAAAAGAGAGAAGCCTCGCTGTCACATCGAGACCAGTTATGTTTCCTTATGAGTCCTTATAATGACAAAAGTTTGTCTTCAGGGACTGACAATTGTTTTCTTCTTTTTTGAGCGTCTTCCTACATCGGAATAAACTGCTATAAATGTCTTAAACAGTTGCATAAGTTTAATACTGTATATGTTGATGCATTTGTGGAGAAAAAAGGGAAGCTCATGTGCAAAAATCTTTAAAAAAATCAACTTTAAAATCTTCAAAAAAATCTTATTGCATTAGAACGTTTTAGATACATTATATTGCCATAAGTATTTGCTCATCCACGTTCATGCGCATGTGAACTTGCATGACATCCCATTCCTAACCCATAGGGTTTAATATGACGTCAGCCCACACTTTGACGCTATAACAGCTTCAGCTCTCGTGGGAATGCTTTCCACAAGGTTTAGGAGTGTTTATGGTAAATTTTGAGCATTCTTTTAGAAGTGCATTTGTAAGGTCAGACAAGAAGACCCGACTCACAGTCTCCACTCCAATTCATCCCAAAGGTGTTCTATTAGGTTGAGGTCAGGACTCTGTGCAGGCCAGTCAAGTTCTTTCACACCAAACTCGCTCATCCATGTCTTTATGGACCTTGTTTTGTGCACTGATGAGCAGTTATGTTGGAATAGGAAGGGGTCAAACCCAAACTGTTCCCACAAAGTTGGGATGTGGAAGCATTAAGAGTTCCTTCCACTGGTGCTAAGGGGCCAAGTGCAACTCCTGAAAAACAACCCCACACCATAATCCCCCTCTACCAAACTTTACACTTGACACAATGCAGTCATACAAGGACTCCTGGCAACCGTCAAACCCAGATTGATTTTTTGGGAGCATTGGTATTGTGGTACTTTAATACATTTTACAGCATAGCAAGTCTGAAAAACAAACAAACAGGATAATAGCAACTAAATAACTGACAGTAAGATCAGGCAAAGCTTAAATTATATTATGATGTGATCACTGTTTTTGTCCTTGTCACATGATCTGTAAATAGTGTCTCTGTATGTTTTGACTATTTTGTGTGTAACACCAACCTGGCAGAGGGTCTGCAGATGGAAATTAGCCCAGGGCTATAATCTGGCATATTTACATTTGTTAAAATGTTCATTAATATGTATTGTCCCTCTTTCTAAATAAAATAAATATAAAAATATTTAATCCAGCAGAGCACAGTGTTTGTGCATTAAGATTCTGTTGTAGATTACAGTAGGCAAACCTGAACATAACTTTCACTGCTACCGTGGAAACCTCATCTTCAGTACCTTGTCGGACTGCGTTTTTATTGATCGATCATTGTTTCACTGTCTTTGATGCGTTAGCTGTGCACAAGTTCAGGATGCCTGCTGGGCCATGTGGTTAGTCTGGTGTGACACGATGATAACCTACTTTTAAGAGAACGGTTAACAATTGCTATATATTGTTTTTTGTCTTTTTAATAAGCCTGTCAACGAAGGCTTTTTGCTGTTTAAATGACGACCAAAATTTAAACTTTGTGTCTAACAACAAAATAAACCCTCAGTGATAAACATAGGTGAAACAGTACCTTATTGAGGGCCTCCTTGCTGTAGTGCCGAATCCCCTCTTCATACTCCAACCACCAGTCATTTCCTTTAAAGGGATCATTAACTGAAACTTTTCAAACCACTTTATAAGCCACTGATAAAGCTCATCTTTAATCAGCTAAATAAGCCCTAGTTCAAAGGTTTTTGGTCTTGACTTTGGCCTTGGTGTATATCTATAAAAACAGATGGTTGATATAAACCCAAACAATCCATTAAAAAAATAAATAATAAAAGGGAGGGCCCCGTTTCAGAGGCTGTTGTTACAATAAATATAGGCACACAGCCTCACGTGGGAGGTGCCTTCCTGCTTGTTCTAGCACTTACCTTTGACAGAGCAGGACGCGAGCACACACGTTGCCACAGCGATCCAAAGCCACCCCATAGTATCGCGTATGGACCAGTCAATGGGTCACCCCTACACACTGCACAATGCGACCCTCAGTTTTCACAGCATTGTCACTTTGTCTCAGCCTCAATGGCTGAGCGACAACCAACAGGTCCAATGAGAAGCGGCCGCTCTCGCTGCTGATCAATGTCAGCAACATTGCAGTGTTATGTCAGACATTTAAAGCCAAGCAGGGCACAAGCCACTTATCCGAAATGATCATCGATCCAAGCATTTCAGCAATCAAACATTCAGAACATCTTTGAAATATCCATATATCATTTATTAAATTTATAAACGCGTTTTAATGGTTAAAAAAAAAAAAAGAAGAAGAAAAAAAGAAAAGAAAAATTCTTCTCTGTAACTTTGCCCAGTGTTTTATTTCACACCAATTGTGAGTTATGTGGGTGCCGATGTGAAAGCAGGAAACAGTTTGGACTTATTTCTAATCATCCTGCAAACAACACTACGCTCTCCTTCTGGGGTTCAATCATGCATATCTATTGGCAGTTAAACACTAACTTTAGTACATTTTGTGGAAGTGAACAAATGAGAAAAAAAAAAACAAATGAAGTGAAAAAACAAAAATAAAAAACAAAATGAAATTTCAGATCTTGGTTCCAGAAATGCTGCATGGTCTAACCGTGGCTTCGTTTGCTTTTCAGCGCAGCCTCGGATTCATGTCCGTCTGATCTCAGAAGTGTAGGCAGATTTCCAACTTGGACGTTTGGTGAGGGGGTGGAAATTGTCACGACAGCTGAAGTTTTAGAACAAAACAAAAGGGAAAAAAAAAAAAAAGAAATGTGATCCACTTCCTCTACTGTAGAAACAATGCAAGGTTTAAGTTGTTGCTATCTTTAAGGCTGCTCCAGATAACAGTTGGCATTTAAAAAAAAAAAAAATACTAAGCTGCCTTTCAAAACCAGCAACAATAATTAAATCAAAGAACAGTGTTGGAAAAAAAATGTACACATACTGTAGTGTACAACTTCCAAAAAAGTTTAAATTCCTCTCGCTTGCTTTTTAAATTAACTTTGATGTTTCTGTACACATTTTAATCCCCATGTGCATCAGCAAACATCACCTACTTCACAGCCCAGCTTTTCTGTCAGTGAGAACTTCCCAAACTATTGTTCTTGTACTGATGACTCAGCATAGTTTTAGTATATTTAGCACTTATTGATCTGATAACATGTCACCCAAAATAACTAATGAATGCAAAACTGCAAAGCATAAAGGAATGCAAAATTTGTTCACTCATCAGTTAGCTCAAAAAAAAAGGCTAAACTAAAAGTCTGCAAGGAGATCAGAGAAGACATGCAGAGAACCAGGACTTTCTTTTACCAAGTAGACCAGCGCTAGAAATGAAAATGATTTTACTTCACATTTTCCACCCAGACTTTTTTTAAATACTGAACAAAATTGGGAATGAAGCTGTCTAACGAGTGTAATTTTCTCAGTTGAGTTCGTAATGCTTTTGATCTGGCAACCACAAGACTAATTCCATGTTGAGGACACGGGGGGAACGTCTGGCAGTATCCTGAGTCAAAAAGTACCAAGTCCAAACACTCTCTACTGCAGTGTTGTCCATTAACACCCACAATGTGTCGGTTTCAGCAGAAGACCAGCATATTTTAAAGGAAGAAAGAGGTGAGACTGAACAGTTCAGCAGCCATCATCAAGCCTTTTAAAAAAAAACAAAAAAAAAAAACCCACACACACATGGCGGGGAACAGGCAGAGTGGGCGAGGTGCTCAAAGTAGCAGGTATTCAGCTACTGGTGCTCCATGCAGTGAGCCTCTTGTCCATCTTTCACCACCCTCACTCCGTCTATCTCCCTCTCAGTGCTGCTCCTCCTCTTCCTGGGCCGGGCCCTGCTCTGGTGTTTCTTCCTGAGCCTGGGGCTCGGCCTGGGCCTGTGGCTGTTCCTGAGGCGGCCTGGGAGGAGGCGCTGGGGCAGGTGGGCGAGGTGGCACTATGATTTGGTGTTGGCGCTGTCGGTAGGCGATGACTGTGCCTAGCAGTAGGGCGATGACCGTCATGAGGTAGAGATCCCACTCTGGGCCCAGCAGCTGGTCCAGATCCACCTGAGAAATCAGCTCCTTCAACTGCGAGAAGTCGCAACCAACAAGGAGGAAAAAGAAACATCATTTTTCTTTCTAATGAAGAATCTCTGAAACTATCTGAAGTACAAGACGTGTTACTGAAAACCATACGGTTAGCATGACAGCTTGTGAATTCAGGAGGAAATACTCACATTAAGATCCTGCAGGTACTGGAGAGCATAAATCAGGCCCAGTTTGCACAGAGCTAGAAAAACTGGAACCTGGGCGTCAGGACTGGCCTCAGCAGCCATGTCATAAAACCGTTTGGCTAGGTGGATGTCCTGCAGCAAAAAAAACATGGAAAATTTCAGAATTAGAAATCAAATTAACAACCACACTGACTTTGCTAAATGACAAAGCGCAAATTTGTGACATGTTGAGAGCCAGGTGATGTTTAGTGAGTGCTCACCTGTTTGATACCCAGGCCTTTCTCATGCATGTAACCCAAGTTAAACATGGCCTGTGCGCTGTGCTGCTGCTCAGATGCCAACCTATAGTGAATGACAGCCGTCTCGTAGTCCACGTCCGTTCCGTAGCCATAGAAATGATAGTCTCCCAGTTTTATCCTTGCCACGGTGTAACCTTACAAGGACAATTACATGTGTAAGATTTGGTTTTATATGCAAACAGTCACGGCTAGAAATCTTCTGTGAACCAGCTTAGTGTTCACCACTCAGTATCTCACACTGATACACAAAGACAGGCTGAGCTCGATTATCATAAATTACGATGCATGTGACCCCAGAGAGAATCAGTGCACCCTCAGCAGCTATGGCTGCTCAGGCATTAGCCTGTTCCACTGCACTTAGATAATATATAGCTATGGAGGATGCA